AGGTGGGAGGATTAAGTTCTAGTGATCGGGAGCCCAGAAGGGCGACTGTGGTTAATAACCTACTGTGTATTTGAAAATAGCTTCAGGAGAGGAATTTGAATCTTTCCAAAACCAACAAATAATGCATATTCGATGTTCTGGGTATGCTACTTTCTCCGTTGACCATTGGACATCGTATACATGTTTGGAAAGATCACAGTTGAACACTCCATGAATCTCTGCAGTAATCATGTAACAATTAGAAGCCCATAAAGTTATTGTCTTCCTAGTGTGGAGGTCAGAAGTCCAAAGTGCTAAAACCAAGTCCAGGTGTTAAAATCAAGGTACTAGCAGTACTGGATCCTCCTGGGCTTTCTTTCTTTTTTTTTTTTTTTGGCGGTACTGGCATTTGAACTCAGGGCCTCACACTTGCTAGGCATGGATCCTCCTTCTGTGAGTCCAGGGCGCACTCTGTTTCCTTGTCTTCCTCAGTCCATGGTTACCTGCATTTCTTGGCTCTCAGTAATTCTTTCATCTTTACTAATCTACACTCCAACTTCTGTTTTAGTCATTTCATGTCTGTCTTTTGTCTTTTTTCTTCTTCCTGCCTTACTCTTGTAATCTTGATGAGATTGAGCACACCTGGGTAGTCCAGAATATTGTTCCCATCTGAAGATCCTTAATTTAATCACATCAGTCAAGTACCTTTCTCCATGTAATGTTAGTTATTCAAAGGTCTGGGGTGTACAATGTGGATAACTTTAAGGACAATTATTATAATCATCAATGTATGTACCCAATGTCAACGCACCCAATTTCATCAAACATCCCCTGAAAGACCTAAAAGCATATATAAATGCCAACACAGTGGTGGTGGGAGACTTTAACACCCCATTATCATCAATAGATAGGTCATCCAAACAAAAACTCAATAAAGAAATCCAAGATCTAAAATATGCAATAGATCAAGTGGACCTAGTAGATGTCTACAGAACATTTATTCCAACTTCTACACAATATACATTCTTCTCAGCAGCCCATGGAACCTTCTCCAAAATAGATCATATCCTAGGGCACAAAGCAAGCCTCAGCAAATATAAGAAAATAGAAATTATACCATGCATACTATCTGACCACAATGCAGTAAAAGTAGAACTCAACAACAAAAGTAAAGACAAAAACCATGCAAACAGCTGGAAACTAAATAACTCATTACTTAATGAAGAATGGATCATCGATGCAATAAAAGAGGAAATTAAAAAGTTCCTGGAAGTCAATGAAAATGAAAACACAACCTACCGAAATCTATGGGACACAGCTAAGGCAGTCTTGAGAGGAAAGTTTATAGCCATGAGTGCATATCTTAAAAAGATTGAAAGATCCCAAATCAATGACCTAATGATACATCTCAAACTCCTAGAAAAACAAGAACAAGCAAATCCCAAAACAAATAGAAGGAGAGAAATAATAAAAATAAGAGCTGAAATCAACGAAATAGAAACCAAAAAAACCATACAAAGAATTAATGAAACAAAAAGTTGGTTCTTTGAAAAAATAAACAAGATCGATAGACCCCTGGCAAACCTGACTAAAATGAGGAGAGAAAAAACCCAAATTAGTAGAATCAGGAATGCAAAAGGAGAGATAACAACAAACACCATGGAAGTCCAGGAAATCATCAGAGACTACTTTGAGAACCTATATTCAAATAAATTTGAAAATCTAAAAGAAATGGACAGATTTCTAGATACATATGATCATCCAAAACTGAACCAAGAGGAAATTAATCACCTGAATAGACCTATAACACAAAATGAAATTGAAGCAGCAATCAAGAGTCTCCCCAAAAAGAAAAGTCCAGGACCTGATGGATTCTCTGCTGAATTCTATCAGACCTTTAAAGAAGAACTGATACCAACCCTCCTTAAACTGTTCCATGAAATAGAAAGGGAAGGAAAACTGCCAAACACATTTTATGAAGCCAGTATTACACTTATCCCAAAACCAGGCAAAGACACCTCCAAAAAGGAGAACTATAGGCCAATCTCCTTAATGAACATTGATGCAAAAATCCTCAACAAAATAATGGCAAACCGAATTCAGCAACACATCAAAAAGATTATTCACCACGACCAAGTAGGCTTCATCCCAGGGATGCAGGGGTGGTTCAACATACGAAAATCAATAAACGTAATAAACCACATTAACAGAAGCAAAGACAAAAACCACTTGATCATCTCAATAGATGCAGAAAAAGCCTTTGATAAGATCCAACATCATTTCATGATAAAAGCTCTAAGAAAACTAGGAATAGAAGGAAAGTTCCTCAACATTATAAAAGCTATATATGACAAACCTACAGCCAGCATTATACTTAACGGAGAAAAACTGAAACCATTCCCTCTAAAATCAGGAACCAGACAAGGATGCCCACTATCTCCACTCCTATTCAACATAGTACTGGAATTCCTAGCCAGAGCAATTAGGCAAGAAGAAGGAATAAAAGGAATACAAATAGGTAAAGAAACTGTCAAAATATCCCTATTTGCAGATGACATGATCCTATACCTTAAAGACCCAAAAAACTCTACTCAGAAGCTTCTAGACATCATCAATAGCTATAGCAAGGTAGCAGGATATAAAATCAACATAGAAAAATCATTAGCATTTCTATACACTAACAATGAGCAAACTGAAAAAGAATGTATGAAAACAATTCCATTTACAATAGCCTCAAAAAAAATCAAATACCTAGGTGTAAACCTAACAAAAGATGTGAAAGACCTCTACAAGGAAAACTATACACTTCTGAAGAAAGAGATTGAGGAAGACTATAGAAAGTGGAGAGATCTCCCATGCTCATGGATTGGTAGAATCAACATAGTAAAAATGTCGATACTCCCAAAAGTAATCTACATGTTTAATGCAATTCCCATCAAAATTCCAATGACATTCATTAAAGAGATTGAAAAATCTACTGTGAAATTTATATGGAAACACAAGAGGCCACGAATAGCCAAGGCAATACTCAGTCAAAAGAACAATGCAGGAGGTATCACAATACCTGACTTCAAACTATATTACAAAGCAATAACAATAAAAACAGCATGGTACTGGCACAAAAACAGACATGAAGACCAGTGGAACAGAATAGAGGACCCAGATATGAAGCCACACAACTATAACCAACTTGTCTTTGACAAAGGAGCTAAAAATATACGATGGAGAAATAGCAGCCTCTTCAACAAAAACTGCTGGGAAAACTGGTTAGCAGTCTGCAAAAAACTGAAACTAGATCCATGTATATCACCCTATACCAAGATTAACTCAAAATGGATCAAGGATCTTAATATCAGACCCAAACTCTAAAGTTGATACAGGAAAGAGTAGGAAATACTCTGGAGTTAGTAGGTATAGGTAAGAACTTTCTCAATGAAACCCCAGCAGCACAGCAACTAAGAGATAGCATAGATAAATGGGACCTCATAAAACTAAAAAGCTTCTGTTCATCAAAAGAAATGGTCTCTAAACTGAAGAGAACACCCACAGAGTGGGAGAAAATATTTGCCAACTATACATCAGACAAAGGACTGATAACCAGAATATATAGGGAACTTAAAAAACTAAATTCTCCCAAAACTAATGAACCAATAAAGAAATGGGCAAGTGAACTAAACAGAACTTTCTCAAAAGAAGAAATTCAAATGGCCAAAAACACATGAAAAAATGCTCACCATCTCTAGCAATAAAGGAAATGCAAATTAAAACCACACTAAGATTCCACCTCACCCCTGTTAGAATAGCCATCATCAGCAACACCACCAACAACAGGTGTTGGCGAGGATGCGGGGAAAAAGGAACCCTCTTACACTGTTGGTGGGAATGTAAACTAGTACAACCACTCTGGAAAAAAATTTGGAGGCTACTTAAAAAGCTGACATCGATCTACCATTTGATCCAGCAATACCACTCTTGGGGATATACCCAAAAGACTGTGACACAGGTTACTCCAGAGGCACCTGCACACCATGTTTATTGCGGCACTATTCACAATAGCCAAGTTATGGAAACAGCCAAGATGCCCCACCACTGACGAATGGATTAAGAAAATGTGGTATCTATACACAATGGAATTTTATGCAGCCATGAAGAAGAACGAAATGTTATCATTCGCTGGTAAATGGATGGAATTGGAGAACATCATTCTGAGTGAGGTTAGCCTGGCCCAAAAGACCAAAAATCGTATGTTCTCCCTCATATGTGGACATTAGATCAAGGGCAAACACAACAAGGGATTGGACTTGAGCACATGATAAAAGCGAGAGCACACAAGGGAGGGGTGAGGATAGGTAAGACACCTAAAAAATTAGCTAGCATTTGTTGCCCTTAATGCAGAGAAACTAAAGCAGATACCTTAAAGCAACTGAGGCCAATAGGAAAAGGGGACAGGAACTAGAGAAAAGGTTAGATCAAAAAGAATTAACCTAGAAGGTAACACCCACGCACAGGAAATCAATGTGAGTCAATGCCCTGTATAGCTATCCTTATCTCAACCAGCAAAAACCCTTGTCCCTTCCTGTTATTGCTTATATTCTCTCTACAACAAAATTAGAAATAAGGGCAAAATAGTTTCTGCTGGGTTTTGAGGTGGTAGGGGGGAGAGGGAGGCGGTAGAGTGGGTGGTAAGGGAGGGGGTGGGGGCAGGGGGGAGAAATGAACCAAGCCTTGTATGCACATATGAATAATAAAAGAAAAAAAAGGACCATTATTCTGACAATTTAGGGACTACTTACAGTGTCTTGACTCCTAGACTTAGAAACCAACAGCACAGAGAATATGCAATCTCTTCTCCGGCAGTGGAAACAAAACTCGCCAGGAAGAAATTATTTAGAGTAAAATGAGTCAGTTGAGAGAATGTGTGTCAGTGTGGCCCTAGAGACCAATGTGTCTTTTCACCTGACCCCATGTCTCTGTTTCAATGCTCATTTCTCTTTACTTCTTTTTCTCTCTCCTTTACACAGACCGTCCACAGTTAATTGCCATGTATCAGTCCATCCTAAACTTATTGAAAAATCTGAGACAGGGGAATTATCAGCAATTGGCTGCTGACTTTGAGCCTGAGTACTTCAAATTAATCAGTAAGTCAGGAGGCATCCTCTCTGCAGAATCCCTCAGAAGCATTCATGCAGCCCTGGAGGAGGGGAAAGTTGAAGATGTGGTGGATGAGATTCAACAATCACTTAACGCAGCAGAAAATGCTTCCCTGAATGTGGCTGTGATTGGAGATTCTGGGTCTGGGAAGTCCAGTTTCATCAATGCCCTGCGAGGGCTTAGTCACCAAGAGGAGGGATCAGCCAGTGTTGGGGTTGTGGAGACCACCATGAGGAAAACCCCCTATCAACATCCAAAATATCCCAAGGTGACCTTCTGGGACCTACCTGGAAATGGGAGTCCCAATTTTCACCCAGACACTTACCTAGAAACAATGGGCCTGGCTGAATATGACTTCTTCATCATCATTTCTTCTTCTCGGTTTAGTTTCAATGATGCTGACCTGGCCCAGAAAATCAATAAGATGGGGAAGAAGTTCTACTTTGTTAGAACCAAGGTGGACAGTGACTTATACAATGAAAAGAGAGCCAAACCAAAGTCCTTCCAAAGGGAGAAAGTTCTTCAGCAGATTCGAGACGATTGTGTGACTCATCTCCAAAACAATGGAGTGCCTGAGCCCCAGGTCTTCTTGGTCTCCAACTTTGACCTGGGTGACTTTGATTTACTAAAATTGGAGAAGACTCTGCTGAAGGAGCTCCCTGCCCACAAGCACCGTGTACTTGCACTCCTGATGCCCAGTTCCTCTGAAGATGCCATTGAGATGAAGAAAACCTTCCTCAGGGAGAAGATCTGGCTGGAGGCCCTGAAGTCAGCAGCTGTGGGCTTGGTGTCCTGCATGCCCTTCATCAGTGGCTTTGGTGTTGCTGAACAGCAAGCATGCTTGAAAGTTTACCGAAGCCATTTTGGTGTGGATAATGAGTCAATTGAAAAGATTTCTCAAAGGCTGGTGTATCTGTGGATCACCTGAAGAGATTAATCAAATTCTTAGATTTCTGGCACATTGTGAAGGATTACAGTATAGAAGCACAAGCCATGAGTTATGCTGAGCACTTGTGTTCAGTTACTGGAGGACCTGTGTCTGCTGTCATCCAGTTCTTTAAAGTTTACTTTCTACACATAAAATTCCTTGATACAGTGGCTGATGATGCTAAACTCGTCTTGCATGAGATGAAGCAACAGTGATACACCTTACTTAACAGATGGCAAATGGACCTCATGTCTTTCATTCTCAGTGTGGGGATGGGGGTCCTCTTCCATGTTGGGGAAGGCCATTGCTCTACTTGGGACTACACTGCTGTGCATGGTTACTTGGCCTTAGCTTCTTTTTTGCATTTACTGACCTATTTTGCTTGAACCATGATAGCAACACACATTTTACTTTTAATAATCTCTATGTGTTCTGAAGTAGTCTACTTTTGCATTATTTACTCAGATAATAAACAGCTTGTAACAATTAAGACGAGAATTATACATTGTCATGTTATAATTTTTTTTCTCTCAGTCATCATCTCAATATCTTCCTCTCCACAATAAGAGAAGACCCACAAATATGAGATCCCATCTAAACACATAGCAATAAATATAGTGTGAAAATGCAGCAGGTAGAGAAAAAATTAGAAAAATGATATTGGATATTATATTTCAAAGCAATAGGTTCTATTTATGAGACTTTCTCAACACTGCATGGGTGGGAGTCCAGTGAATGAACCCAGGATATTGAGAGAGTAAAGTTAAATCAGGAGGGGACCTGGAAAGCAATGATGCATTGAAATGGCATAAGGAGGAAAGTGTGGTATTTGCTTTTGCTAAAATCTCTGATATTGGACCCAGAAAAAACCAACTTAACTTGCCTCAATCGTTGGGCATTGTGATTACTACTGTTACAGTAATTGTGCATGTGACTTTCTCTCCCTTCTTCCTCCCATCACTTATATAGGGTGATACTTTTCCCTTACTTCAGGTGGTTCAAAGAGTGAAGGGAAGGGCAGAGGAGCTGTCTAGGGTCAGGGGAGTAGATTCCCAATGATGTCTCTTAGAAAACTTGCTGATTCTGGTGTCTCATAGTGGAGCCATGCCTCTATGTCAGAGATTCTTAAATCTTTCACTTAAAAGTAGAAATAGTTTTTATTATATCCTTTAGTGGTATGAATAAGTTTCAATAGAAATCCACATAGAGATACATATCTATGTTTTACAAACATGAATTTTTGGTATTGCTTTCCATTTGTGCCTATTCACACCCAGTGGACATACCCTTAAAGATTCAAAGACAAGGTACTGGGAATCCACCCATGTTCCCTGCCCTAGTACCCTATCCTGACTCTTGCAGAAAGAATAATGTGAAGCAGAAGTATGTATATAGCTACAAGTGAGCAGAACTTTGTGTGGTTGAAATTTGCTCAGTACATGAAGTGTTAGGGTTAACATCCCCATTCATCTGAGTTCTTTCTCTGTGCCCACTGGTGTACAGTTTTCTTGATCATTCTGTGTTTTCCTCTTCCTCCCCTATGGAGTGGCTGCTCAGTGTTGAGAATGTTATTGGACATCCTCCAGGAACCTGAAACAAGGGATCCCAGACACTAAGGTGGGAGGGAGCCCAACATTGTCAGTGTGAGTCATTCCTCAGGGTGGAAAAGAACTCTCTCTCAGCAAGTTCTCTGTTTCACTTGGTCAGTTACTCTTTCAAAAAATTTTTTTTTGTGGTACTGGGGTTTGAATTCAGAGCTTTGTGTCTGCTAGGCAGGTGCAGTACTGCCAGAGCTACACACTCAATTCTAGAAAGTATTATGTAGATGACTCCTGTGCCGCTGGGAGGGTGGCATCACCATTACCGGAATTGAACAGGCTGGGGAGGGCTTGAGTGGGGAGGAGTCTGTGGTCAGCTTCAATCATGCTCACTTAGTCAAGATTTTCCCAAGCATACTAGTGGGAGATGTTGCATGAACAATTCAATATTTGGGCCTGAAGTCAAGAGAGGGAACTGGGTTGAAGATGCAAATTTGGAAGTTGTCACACATTTGAATTGGAAATTCAAGACACACTTTTTTGAAATCAGTATTACTTTGATTAAAATACAAAATAAACAGGAAAATAATTACAAATGTAGGAAAAAGCATAGGAGACTCTTTACAATGGTTACTCAAGAGTATAAATGCATTGGCAAAGTAGCTCAAATAGTAAGAGCACCTGCCTAGCAGGTGTGAGGCTCTGAGTTCAAACCCCAGTGTTGCCACAAAAACAAAATAAAAAACAAGAGTATAAATATGCAAGAATAAAATCTAAGTTTTTGCTTTACTTAGAACTCTCAATGTTGCTAAATTATCATGCCTAGCAGGTACTGCTTTTAACTAAATATAAGAGCAAAATTGCAAGAAATCACAAAGAAGGCTCTATAATAACACTCAAAGACCACTTTGGAATTCAGGAAGACTTGCTGTACTCCAGGAGACAGTCACTGTGTGACAGATGCACATACTCAGGACACAGCCTGAAGAGCTGCAAGTGGCAGGGCTAGCATTATCTGACTAATGCTCAATGGAATACTTTAGAAAGTATTCGTAACCAAAAGCTCAAAATTATGAAAACTGTTTTGAAGTTGGAGGTTTGAAGACACCAGACTTATATTCAAAACTTCAGGACAACTACTAGCATATATTTCAGACTGGATTACCTGGGATATGCTGAGATAACCAAGGGGTGAATGGATGCAGCTGGAACAGAGTCAGGACTGAACTCATGGACACCTCAAATATTAGGTCTTGTTGTAGGGGGAAGGAGCTCAGCATCATCCAGTACCTATTTTGTTTTTACAAACTGGTGATTTGTCTTGGTTTTCTTACACATTTTTAACAGAGTGCCTTCTCAAACTCAAACCTCTTTCCTTTTCATAGATCACAGCTCACATTCCAAATTTACTGAAAATTCTGTGTCTTCAGGGTGAAGTTCCTGATGCTATGTGTAACAGAACATCAAAATAGGAGCCATTCTTTCTTTTTTCACATTGGCTCTTACATGGCTAAAGTGGTTCCATTTCAAGGAAATGTACCCCATATAATTTGAAACGAGTTGATCCAGAACCACTTAGAGGTCTAAAAAGTGCTGATCTCTCTGAAGGAATGAGAGGGTTAGGAGAAAGAGGTTTGTGAGGTGGCATTTAGAAGGAGAATTTTAGGTCTATTGTTTAAGGGAACAGTTGTAGTATACCTGCTCCTCACTTTAAGTTTGAATTGGGGGCCTCAGTGGGAGTTTTCCAGAGTGGTTAGATGATAATGAATTGGTGCCTGTCCAAACATGAGAAATTTAAATGTGACAGTTGGGTTACCAAGCTGAGACTGGAAAGGATCAAACAGAACTAGGAGAGCTCGCTGGGGTGGAGGGAGGTGAAGTGTGTTCCATGGATTCAACCTGGGTCACATACCGGAGAGAGCATGGTGGGGTGAATTCACATATTCTTTAAGCAGCCTTAGAGGGACCAGTCTTAAATGTGATGCGCATGTTAGGTGACATGTGTTTGTAAACCTGGGTATCATCTATGGTTGTGTGACCCTTTAAGCCTCAAGACTGGTAGACATTACCAAGGGACTCAGTATATGGAAAAAGGGAGACTTGCTAGGATTGTGCTGGGGTCCTCTGCTCTTTAGATCTCTTAGGGGAGACCATGTTTGTAACATGCTTTCGTGTTCAACTTTTTCCCACTGAATTTCTGTGATGAGCCCCCGGATTATCTGGTCTCTCTTCCTTGACTATGGCAGTGAACAAGAGATTGATGCATATTCCACCCTTCAAGACTGCATCTACAGACAGCATGAACCAAGGTTCTGATGAGGCTAAATGAGCCTTTTCCTTGAAGGAGATGAGAGAAGCACCTATGGTTGTCACAAACAAGATACTGTCACTTAGGCTGGGTGTTGGTGGCTCATGCCTGTAATTTTAGCTACTCAGGAGGCAGAGATCAGGAGAATTGCAATAAGAAGCCAATCTGGGCAAATAGTTTATGAGACCTTATCTCAAAAATAACCAACACAAAACAGGGATGGTGGGGTGGCTCAAGTGGTAGAGCACTCGCTTAGCAAGCCTGAGGCCCTGAGTTCAAATGAAAAAATGATATTGTGACTTAAATGGCACTTGTGACAAAAAAATAATATATTTTCACAGAAGTGCCAAGACAACAGGAAATGGACCTTGAGTCTCCAGAAGCAGCAAGTGGTGGGATGGTAAATTCATAGTAGATATAGGTGGTTGTTATGCTCATTTTTTAAATTGCTCTTGTGCTGATAGGGTGCAAAGGGTGGTCCACTGAAAGAAGAGGATTGGCATCTGTGTAACTTTATGTCCTACTTTTGGGCAAATGGATGAAGGGCAGGGAGGTTGTCTACTGCTCATTTCTCCTCAATTGCTACCAACTTAAATTCATTCTTATGCTCAGATGGCTCATTGAGATGGCAGAACTGCTACCTTTTATTAGGGTGAAGGCAGAGCTACTGTGAAGGAGAAACCCAAGCACAGAGACTGAGCACAAGGATGGACTCTTCCTCCTTCTCAGTACAGACCATGAAGCTGGGTGCTGGGCATCCCACGGTAAAGAAGAACCTAGGTTCCATCCATCCTCACACTCCACAGCCTCCTAGCCTTGCCCCTGTCTTTCTGACTCTTGCTTGTGTCACAACCAACTGCTGGTCCTGCCCTGCTTATCACATAAAGCCTATGTGTCACACAGATATCTCAGTCCTCCTCTGTCTGTCTCCATGTGCTATGATTTCAATTGGCCCCCAAAGTCCATGTGTTGGAAATTCCATCTCTTATATAAAAGTGTGGGGAGGTACGGCCTAATGAGAAGTGATGAAGTCTTGATGGCTGTGCTTTCATGATTCCAATAAAGTTCTTATCTCAGGAATGAGTTAGTTATCATGAGAGTGCTATTATAGAAGTGAGTTTGGCACCTTTTTGCTCTTTCTTCTGTGTGCTCTTTTGCCCTTCCCCCTTCCATCATGTTATGATACCCTTGCCAGATGTAGACTCCTTAACCTTATACTTGCCAGCATTAAGGACCATGAGGCAAGCATCTCTAATCCATTTCTTTATAAAGTACCTAGGTTCAGGTGTTTTGTTATAGCAATAGGAAACACTCATACAGAAGTGGTGGGAGTCCTTCAGTCCGTAAGTGCCAAAATGAAAGACTTGTCTGAGGATAAAGTTTAAATAAGTGAAAATGTATGTCAGCAAAATGAAATGATTATCCATAAAATGATTAAGTTATTGGTAAAAGTAGGCATGTCCACTCAATAGTATGTATCTGCATGATATACCATTATCTCTTTCTTAAGAGATGGTAGGGCTTCCATCTTTTATTTTCTCTATTTGTCATGTGCACACATGCACACAAATCTTTTCTTTCCATACACATATCTTTTTAAATCTAAAACATAGTAGACTTTCTGCCTGGAGTTGTAGGT